GGCAGCTGGAGAGGAAATTAAGCAGCAGGAATGACAGAGATGGAGCTCATTCAGCCATTTCTTATTCCTTTTTCCAAAATTGAGATATAATTCATATATATAAAATTCATCCATTTAAAGTGTACATAATTCAGTAGGTTTCAAGTTATTCACAGAGTTGTGCAACCATCACCACAGTCTGGTTCCAGAACATTTTTATCACCTCCGAGAAACTCTGTCTCCACTAGGAGTTGCTCCCTAGGTCCTCCTCCCCCAAGCCTCTGGCAACCACAGATCTATTTTGTTTCTGGATTTGCCCAGTCCCCGACTTTTCATAGAAATGAGACCATACAGTGATGTGGCCCTTTGGGACCGGCTTCTTTCAATAACCATATATTTTCAATGTTCAGCCATAGTATAGCATATGTAAGCCCTTCATTCCTTTTTTTTTTAATTTTTGGTATCGGAGATTGAATCCAAGAGTGCTTAACCACTGAACCACATCCCCAGCCCTTTTTATTTTTTATTTAGAGACAGGGTCTTGCTCAGTTGCTTAGGGCCTTGCTAAATGACTGAGGCTGGCCTCAAACTTGCTATCTTCCTGCTTTAGCCTCCCGAGCCGCTGGGATTATAGGTATGCGCCGCTGTACTTGATTTACTTCATTCCCTTTAATGACTGGATAATATTTCATTGTGGGGATCGACTGTATTTTGCTTATTTATTCATTGGTTGATGGACATTCGGGTTGCTTCTGTGAATCCTATTTCTCCTTTTCACTTGGTTTTCCCGAGAAGCTCTTCTCAGTGTCTGGTTGCCTGTATTCCTCTATAGGCTATCTGGGAGGCCAGGGATAGAGTAGCTATGTGTGATGGGGTGGCTGGGGAGCTGTGTTGGTGAAAGATGTAGAAGAGGAAAGTTTGGAGGTTTGCAGGAACCCCCTGCTGCAGGGAGGCCTCACACCTGGACCCAGAGCTGTTAGGAGGGGATTTTTCCTGCTGTTGATTATTAACCAATAATTGTAATCCTGGGAGTAGATCCCTAGGGCTAGAACTGGAGCTTATTGAGATGCCAGGAATGTTTTTGTGAGACATTTAAACAGCCCTGAACCCTTGGTTCTCTGTTTTCACTTGGAGACCAGATCCCCATTTTATGAAATACATAATCATCATTATCATTTTCTATATTTGTATGTAGGACTTTGTGTTTTATTTTATAGCCATTACTTTTAATTCCTCAGAACGTTATTACCTGCATCTTTGCAGGCGAAGGGACTTAGACACAGAGAGATGAGGTAACTTAACCAAGGTCACACAGTAGACTCTCAGGGAAAGCCAGACTTGAATGCAGGAGTCTCTTGATTCCTAGTGTAGCATCTCGTAAGAGATGGTGAACTGTTGTAATGACCTCAAGTGTCTGGGGCAGAGCCACTTAAGGGTGAGGTGAGGACCCTGGAAGCCTGGGTGTTGTCACAGGGACTCTCACAGCTTCTTCTCCAGGTCCCTTTGGTTCTTTTCTCGTGAGGGTATTTGGCTAAAGGCCAGGGCTGCTGCTGACCTCTCTGAGCCCTCCCATGTGCTCAGGATCTCTCATACTTTAGGGAAAGAATCCCAGAATGGGAAGCTTCAGCGCCACCTGGCCCTGGGGTGGCAGACATGCTGAGTGAGGAGCTCAGGGTCTCCAGGACCCCTGACCTGCCTGTTCAGCCACCTGCATAGCCTTCTCTTTCAGCTGAGTGTACAAATTTCCTCTTCCTCTGGCTTCCTCTCCTTTTTGGGTCACTCTGGTTCCCTAGTTGGATCTGGGACCCTATGTCCTTAGAGCACGTGTGAGTTCTGTCTGGGTTGATCACGGGCAGTTTTCAATCTCAGGGTCATGACACATGGCAGGATCACTGTGGCTTACAAGAAAGTTGTCCCCTCTGCTAATCATTTACCTTTTACTCATCATAAAGGAGAGCAGATTCAAGGTTATACCTTGATAATAATCACACCATTTCCCTTTCTTGTGTGTGATATGTTTGCCTGAGTGGGAGAGAAAGGGCTGCCCCTTCACTGAGCATGCAGCTCTTACTCTATCTTATCTTTGTACCAGCTGGTGGCTAGGTCTGGCCTGGCTGTCCTGGGAGCAGGGTGGCTCACATGCAAATGTCATTGTCATGAGGACTGGGGCAGGACAAGGTCGAGCACAGCAGATCAGAGCAGAGAGGTGGGGCAGAAGCATGGTTGTTTTAGTCAGCTTTTTTGCCTCCGTGAAGAAGGAAGACCTGACAAGAACAATTTTAGGGGAGGAAAAGTTTATTTCAGGGCTCACGGTTTCAGAGGTCTTAGTCCATAGATGGTTCCATTCCTCGGGGCTCGAGTTGAGGCAGGACATCAGGGCTGAAGAGTGTGGTGGAGGGAAGCAGCTCACCTTAACAGGCAATTAACTCTAAAGTAGTGGGGAGGGCTGTAGCCAAGAATGGGAATGGTGCAGTATGGCCCACACCAGCCCACAGGTGCCCCCCCCCCCCAAAGCCATTCAGATATCAAGGCAAGGTGGACTTTAATTTGTAGCCAAAAGCCTGTGCATACTCTGAGTTCTGATCTTTTTGAAGACAGCAGCCATGCCTTCTGCCCACCCTGGTCTCCCTTCTGGGGTCCTGGACATAGCCCTGGAAGTTGTTAGCCGCAGGTGTTCATTCCTGCTCCCAGGTGTCACTTGGAAAACCCTTCTGGCAGAAACTGCTCTCTGTTCCCACTTGATATTCTTTATCACTCATTGGGAGATTGCTTCCAGGAGTTTTTCCAGCATTCAGGGGAAACAGGCTGACTCAGGGGAGAGTGCTCAGCCCAGGGAGGGTTGGTGTTGGGGGCCGTGTGCTTGGGACTCAGAGACCCTGGACAATAATCATATCGGTTCTGGATCTATGGATGTGGACATAGAACCCTTGGCCAGTGATGTTAACAACCTGCCAGCATTGCCTTTCTCTAGGGTTTGTGTTCCTGGAGAGCCTGGGCTGCTGTTGATCAAGGTGTTTACAAACCATTTCCAGGGGGGTGGGCCAGTGATCCTTCTAAGCTCAGAGCATCCTGGTGGCTGCTGGGTGGGGATCCTTTTTTTTTTTAAGTATTAAAAAAAGTTTTTTTTTTTTTAGTTGTAGATGGACACAACTACAACTAATTATGTTATTTATTTATTTTTTTTGTGGGGCTGAGGATTGAACCCAGTGCCTCACATGTGCTAGGCAAGCACTCTACCACTGAGCCACAACCCTGCAGTGTTCAGTGGGGGTCTTGCCTGCCCTCCGCTCTTGCTTGGTTTTCCCTGCCAGCCTTCCAGCCCCAAGGGGAGCTACCCTGTCATCACTTTAAGGGACTTGAGGATGGTGTTCCCTATCCTCGATCGTCCTTCCTCCCTTCCCCTCCCAGCTCCTGCTTCTCAGGGGCCAGACCCATGGAGGAGGAGCAGTGGCTGCTTGGGAGTGGGCTGAGGAGAGTGGAGCATGTGCTGGACCAGCTCTGTTGAGTCCTCAGGTAGGACCCATGGAAGTTATGTCTGAGGTCAAATATGGAAGTGGAGGCTGGTGGCTCTAGCTGCAAGGTAGAAGGAGCTAGTGCATTTCTTTATGGGAGTGTGAATGGGTGTGCGTGTGTGTGTTCATGTCCTGAGTCTTGGCCCTGTTGGTTTCTTGAGCCAGTTAAAGTTTGGATTAGGAGGGGGGGAGAACCCCCTCTCCAACTCTCATAGGTCACATCACCAAGGTCCAGGAAGAAATTCAGATGAAGGCAGGTGGAGGAGCAGAAAGGGGGCATGGCCAAGGTTGAGGTTAATGGAGTCATGTGAATCCTGTGCCAAGCCAGATGTTCACCAGTGTCCTCTGGCCAGAGGACAGAGAAGGGTGGCTGGCTTCTGGGCGGGCAAGGGTTGTTGTGCCAGGGTAGCATGGTCCTGTAGCCCAGCCTGATGTCTCAGGAGGTGTTAGATTGGACCTGTCACATGGGCTAAGAGGTGTTGGTGACTGGGCCCCAGAGCCAGGCAGTGCTTTCCCCTAGAATGCTCAGGAATAGGGAATGTGTGTTTCTCTCATGAAGGCTTGGGTTGGAGCTGTCATCCCTGCTGGCTGGAAAGAGGTGCAGAAGCATTCTCCCCAGGTGGCTGTTGGAGGCCCATTGATCATTTTAGTGAGACATGTGTGTTGGGCTGATTCTCTTGGCTGCTTCTGGTAAAGCTGGGCGTTTTGATGGCTCTGTGGTCTTAGGCTCTCAATACTGTTATGCTTTCCTTCCGTTCCCTTCCTGGGCTTTAGCCAGGGCATGTCCTGGACACTAGAGTCTCTCTCTCTCTGGGACGCCCCAGGTTCTGCCCAGCTGGCCCTGTTTCGTAATTCTCTCCAAAGCCTTTTCCCACCCCAGTCTGCCTGGTGATGGGACAGCAAACAAGCTCTCCCTGGTCACTGGCAAGGGCCAGATGGGAAGTGGGGAGTGTGTGAGAGCCGCGAACTTGTCGCAATCATGTTGCCATGGTGACACAACTCTGTTTAGCTGCCTCTCTCTGGTCCTAGCCCACATGGACTAAAATAAGTTTAACCTGCAGCTCCCTGGCTTCCCAAGGTCAGCTCTCCTGCCTGGGCCTGTGTGTGTGTGTGTGTGTGTGTGTGTGTGTGTATAGAGGGGCCCAAAGGAGAATGAATCCCACCCCTTCCCCAGCCTAGTCTGTGTCTCTTAGACTGGTGGGTATATCAGAATCACCTGGAGAACTTATTAAAACACAGATTCTTGGGCCCCATTCCTGGAGGTTCTGGCCTGCACCTGAGGACTCACCTTTCTAAGAAGCTCCCAGGGGCTGCTGGTGGTCCAGGGATCCCCCAGGAACCACGTCTTTAGATGTGAGTACATCACAATAAAGGAAGACAGTCAACTCTGGTTTTCTGCATTGTCTATCAGGCTGCCTCCCAAGCCCAGCCACCCTTAGAGCAGAAAGGGAAGGAATGGGCAGGGCCTTGCTCACCACTTCTGGTTTTTTTTTTTTGGTCTCTTCACAGGAAGCAGGAGCTGGCCAACAGCTCAGATGTGACCCTCCCAGACCGGCCACTGTCCCCTCCTCTCACTGCGCCCCCCACCATGAAGGTAAGAAGCTCCTGGCTGGGAAGCAGTGAGGGAGGGAGTGTGGGGGAGAGTCTTGAGGCCAGACTGTGGCTTTGGCTCCAGGCCAGCTGCCCTTGTCCCACTGGGGGCCATGGAGTGCCTGTTGCCTCTGGAACCAGCATCCAATTAAGCTTTCCAGAGCAGGAGGAAAGTGTGATGGAGACTCAGGGGTGTTTGTGTCAAGGGGCAGCGAGGAAATAGACTGGGACTGACATGGGTTTGGCAGGATGCTTGGTTATTAGCGAGAGGCCTTGTGGAGGGGTGGGGTTTGGGAACAAGGGGCCCAGGCTGGAGGAGGTAGAAGAGACAGAATGTAGTTGGGTGTCTTAAGGGGCAGCTGCCGGGGACTGTTTGGGGCTGGGAGTGGATGTTCCTGGGACTTGGGTGGCATCTGCATGCTGGCCTACCTGCCTCTCTCTGGTCTCCTTGGGATGGCCCTATTACCCCAGTTCCTATGTGGGAGTTGCCCTGAAGGCTGGGAGGGGGGCAGTGGTGTATCAGCACTTTGTTCAGAAGCCTCTTTCCAGGGAGATTACATCCCAGGACCCCAGGCCTAGGGCTATCCTCTTCCTGGAAAGAGGAGCCTAACTTCCCTGCCACCCCCCACTCCCACAATCTTCTTCCCCTTTCACCTTTCACTACTCCTGCTCCCACCTCCTGCAGGATGGCTCCTTCGGCCTGCACTGGCCTTCAGGGGGGCTTGCTGCTCAGCCACTGCGCCTGCCTGGGCTGCTGTACATCCTCTCCCCTCCCGCCTGCCTTCACACTTTTTTTGGGTGAGGACTGGCTCTGAAGAAGTCACCTTCCTCCTGAGTCATCTGAAGGGGCACCTAGACCAGCCTCTATCCCTGTCCCAGGCCTCTGCTCTGAGGTGACTCACAGGGAAATAACTAGGCATCTTTTCCCTACTGATCTGTCTTGCTCCCCCTCTCCCTTGACTTAATCTTTTGTAGTGTGATACTCCCAAAGGAAGCAGATAAAAACTGTCCATCTTCCTGTTATCATCACATATCAGATACCCGCCTTGTACAGAGCCACTTGGTATACACTAAGGGGGAATATATGCAATGGCAGTAAAGCCTGCCCTGGTTGGGTTAGGTGTTCAGTGGGGGGTGGGAAGGGGATGGAACAGGACAGAAGGCTGACAGAAGACAGCTCTACTCCCCTCCTGGTGGAATACCAGGACCTACCAAAAGCCAGGTCGTCTCCACCAGCCTAGTTCTAGGGCTGGTATCTGACCCAGATGCTGGGGTGGTTTGCTTGCACCAGGTAAAGCCAAGGAACATGTCATTCTTCTGAGTTACAGCCCCTTGGTCTGCAGAGCTGGGCGTGGGAAGCTTGTCTCTGCTTATGGATGGTTAGTTTATAAGGAGAGCATGGAAAACCTTGGAGGAGTCCCTGAGTACTCTTGGCAGCCTTTACTCACACGCTCGTTTAATTCACTCAACACCCAATATTTATTTGAATGTTGTATTAGTCAGGACTCTTGGTTGCAAGTGACAGAAACAACTCACTTCAGCTAAGGCATAAAAGAAAACTTTTCTTGCCTTTGTCACAACAAGTATAGATGCCAGGCAAGTATATATCCATGGTCTCTGTCTCTTTCCCTCTGCATTGTGTGTTAGTTTCATCCTTTGTCAAGCTTTGTCTCTGTGGTGGTGAGATAATGACAATATCTTGGTTAAGTAACCCCCATGGAAAAGAAAGAGGATCTTTTCCCCATTAGTTCCAACAAAAGTGCCAGGGAGGAAGCTCATTGGCCTGACTGAGATCACATGTCTATACCTGAACCAATCATTGTGGCCAGAGAGATGGAAGGCTCTGATTGGCTAGGCATGGTCTCATGACTTAAACTGTAATAACTTGAAATGGAGGAGGGGTGGCTCCTCAAAGGAAATTGAAATGCTAGTGTGAGAAGAGGGAGAGATGAAGGCAGGGCAGGCTAGACCAACAGCTTCCTATCAGGTGCTGATGATGTGCCAGCCCAGTGCTGGGTGCTGAGGACCTAGAAGTGAACTAGATATTGTGGTCCCTGTTGTCTTAGAGTTTGTAGTCTCTCTAGGGAGCCAAAAGCTATAAAGTGAATAATGAGAGAGGGATGGTTAGGTATGGTAGGTGTTCCAAGGAGAGGTGCAGTTGGCTCAGGGAAAATATGAGGCTGGTGCCTGAGGGGCTTTGATGACAGGTAGAGCTTCCTGGAGGGGATGGTATTTAAACTGAACTCTGAGAGTTTAACAGGACTTAGGCAAAGGTGGAGTCAGAGTGGAGCATAGTGTTCTAGATCCTTGCTATTCTGAGGCCAGAAGACCAGCAACACCTGGATTGTTTGGGAGATCCTTAGAAGAGCAGAACTTAGGGCTGGGGGGTGCAGCTCAGTGGTAGAGTGTTTGCTTAGCATATGAGACCCGAGTTCAACCTGATACTTAAAAAAAAAAAAGGCAGAATCTCTCAGGCCCCATCCAAGGCCATTTATTAGAATTTGCCTTTTACCAACATTTCCAGGTGATTTTAATGCACGTGACAGCTTAAGCAGCGGTGCTTAGACTTGTGCAAATGCTTCAAGGAGAGAAAAGGTTATGTAGGGCCGGGGATGTGGCTTAGTGGTAAAGCACTTGCATAACACGCACCAGGCTCTGGGTTCAATTCCCCCTACTTCAAAAAAACAAAAACAAAAACACCAAAAAACAACACATACACACACACACACACATCCCAGGATGGTGAGCATCCCAAATTAGGGATAAAGAGGTTGATAACTATAGGTAGAAGACAGGGTCAAACAGATACCTGGAAGTTTGGCAGAGGATTTTGAGGTTTTCCGTATTGCAGACATTGAAGAGTTTGGCTAGAAGATTCAGATGATGGGACTTTTGAACAATCACCCTGGATGTTGTGAAGGGAATGTGTGGGAGAGAGCAGAGTAGAGATTAGGAGATGATCCAGAGGCTACTGCAGGAGTCCTAGGGAGAGGATGGGTACTGACTCCAAGGAGCCAGTAGGCTTATTTGAAAGTAGTCAGATCTTGGATTTCCTGCATGGTAGCTGGATGACGTGAGAGGATTTGAGGAGAGATAGGAGGCAAGAATGACCCCCAGGTTTGGAGCAACTAGACTTGGTATAGCCATTCTTTAAGACAGGAATGACCCAGGAGGGAGGATGAGGGTCAGGTTGGAAGTTCTGAGTTGGACATGCCTGAGACAGGAATGGGCATGTCAGTGAGCAGCTGGGTATTTGGGGCCAGGCTTGGAGGAAGGGTGTGGCCTGGAGGTCAGACTCTGGGAGTGGTTCTCATGGAGGAGAGAACTGAAGCTCTGGGGTGGGTGAATTTTCCAGGGAGAGGGTAGAGTGAGAAGAGAGGTTCCTGGGGAGGCAGCTTAAGGAGCACCCCCAGGTGGAAACTGGTGCTGGGGCTTCTGCCAACAAGGCTGGACACTGGCATGGTGGGAGGAGCATTTCGCAGGAAGGGATGGGCAGCTGGGCCCACTGCTGTGGAAAGGCCAAGTATGACTTGGAATGCACAGTGGCCGCTGGGCAGAGTGGCCTGACGGTTGCTGGGGTGTAACTGAGACCAGTCCTAGAGAGGGGTGGAGGTGACAGCAGATGGCATAATGCTGAGGAGTGAGTGGAGGTGGTGAAAATGTGAGAGGATATGGACCCAAGTGTGCGGACGTGTTGAAAGGAAGGAGTTAGAGGGTATGTGGAGATGAGGAGCCAGAGGAGTGGTCAGGAATCTGCTCTGCTCTGGCCATCCGGGACCAGGGGTGGTCAGGGAGGGGGCCCAGAGAGGATCAGTAATCTTCAGGGAAAGCTCCATGACCCACAGTCAGAGGACCTCTCCTGCCCCAAGTGCTCTGTCCTTTTCCTGTTTAACTCAGTTCAGGAATTTCCCAGCTTATGACTTTTCTGTCCTGATCCCAAGATCAGAGTCAGCGCTGGGAATGGAGGAAGATCGAGGCTCATCCTGAGGCTCCAGTCTGGGTTGGGACCCTCTGTGGTTGGTGTTGGGGTCAGGATGTGAGTTGTATGTGCTCTTTGTGACTGTCAGGTGGGTTTATTTTGTGGCTCTGCCAGCCTGTGGCTACAGTTGGGAGTCTTTCTGAGGCTAGGACTTTTTCCTCTTTGTGTAAAGTTAACTGCTCATCAGGGATTTAAAACCATAGTCCCCACCTCACTCCAGCCTGCTCACAACAGCGTGATTGTCCCTTTGTGACCACACCAAATAACGTCACAGTTTCCCATTACCGAAATGTTGATTCTCCTCCTATACTGAGTTCCTTGAGTGTAGTCACTGTGTCCTGGTTTTTGGGTTCCCCAGGCTCTGGCTTGTGGAAGGTGCCTGGGAGATGTCTCTTGACTGCAGAAGACATCCAAGTGGGAGGAACTTGTTCTGCTCTGGTTTTTGCCTGAGTCTTCTGTCTCAGCATACCTGGTTCCCTGGTCTCCAAGGGTGGGATCAGGCCTCTGCTTTGTTGACACTTCCCAATCTCCCCAGGTTATTTTTGTTCATTGAGGCTTGAGACACCTTGGATGGTGGCTAGATATACTCTCTCTCATCTCTGGCTCTGGGAGGTTCATGAATTGATTCTCTAGCCCCTGAGCACCTGGGCAGTGGGAGATGGCTTCATCTAGTAAGGCCTCATCCAGTTCCTTTGGGAATAGGGGTTCAGGGTGGAGAAATCAAGGATATCCTTTTGATTGCTTAGCTTGGGAATCAGGATGTTGGGGGTGGGCAATCCATTTCTTTTATAGATAAAAAGTCCAGAGTCCCACAAGTGGGAAATGATTCATCAAGTCCCACTGAAGGTGGTCGTGTACCTCCCATCATCAAAAGACAGTTAAATTCTGAGACCCAAACCGTTTTTGGTGAAGTGTTCTCAACCCACCTCGAATACCCAGGGACAGTCCCTTTTCTAATTGCTCCTTCCATGATGAGGGGACTGCTGGAGCACTAGCTGTCTGCAGCTC